CAGAAAAAAGGTTTCTCTGCATTAAAAGGTCCCAGATAGAGTGGAAGAAAATATGGAATAAAGTTCAAAATTATTTAAAATTTAAAAAAGAGAGATTGAAAGACCCTGACACTAAGGCCACCTTCAGATCTGGAAAGGAACTCACTCTCCCTTGTGGTCGAAATTTCAGCCAAGCAGCAGATAAGCATATATTGGGTACAACAACACTAGTAAGGTATTCTCACTATAGAAGGTCAATCATTCAAAACCAAAAGGGAAACATTTCCCAAGGGCAAAGTTGAGAAGGGATGGGAAGGTGGGTGGAATGGAAACAGAGAGGAAGAGAGATACTGTGGTTATATGGAGGGGAATGCAATCACTGACATGCAACAAAATATATGATTTGTTGAATGAAAAACTGATGAGCTTGTCTGTAAACCTTTATTCAATTCTCAACAAAAAGTTAAAACATTTAAAAAAAGGAGAAGTCCAAGCTACAGAGAAGGCATTGGCAAAAAACAAGACTCCAGGAATTGACACAAACAAATTTAAATCTTTCAGCAAATTGACGCAGAACAGTGCTGGAGGCATTCATTTGTCGATGACAAGAAATGTGGAAGATGGCTACCAGACCAAAAATATGGAAGAGATCCATATATGTTCCCATTCCAAAGAAAGGTGACCCAACGGAATGGGGAAATCATCAAACAATACCATTAATATCACATGCAAGTAAAATTTTGCTGAACATAATTTTAAACCGATTACAGCAGAATATTGACAGGGAGCTGCTAGAAATTCAAACTGAATTCATAAGAGGATGTGGAATGAGGGATATCAGTGCCGACATCACACTGATCTAGGTTAAAAGCAGAGAATTCCAGAAAGATGTTTACTTGCGTTTTTATTGACTATGCAAAGCCATTCGAATGAGTGGATCATAACAAACCATAGTGAACTTTTTAAAGAAAGAGTATTCCAGAAAACTTAATTGTGCTCATGATGAACCTGTATATAGACTAAGAGGCAGTCATCAGAACAGAAAAAGGAGATACAGAATGGCTTAAAATCAGGAAAGGTGTGAGCCAGGGTTATATATTTTCATCATACTCATTCCATTTGTATACTAAGTGAACAACCCGAGAAAAGCCGGATTATATAAAGAAGAATGCGGCATCAGGATTGGAAGAAGACTCATTAACAATCTGTGATATGCAAATGACACAGTCTTGCTTTCTGGTAGGAAAGAGGAGTGAAATACTGATGAAAATCAAAGACTAAAGCCTTCAGTATGGATTGCACCTCAATGTAAAGCAAACAAAAGTCCTCACAATTGGAGAATTATTATATTAACATTATGATAAATGGAGAAGAGACTGAAGTTGTCAAAAACTTTTATTTTTGTTGGATCCATAATTAAAACTCATGGAAGCAACAGTCAATAAATCAAACAACATATTCCATTAGGTAAACCTGCTGCAAAAGACCTCTTTAAAGTTAAAGAAAAAAGATTAACACTTTAAAGGGCTAAGGTAAGCCTGATCCAAACCACAGATATTTTCATTTGACTCACATGCATGTGAAAGTTGGACAATGAATATGGAAGACCGTAGAAGAATCAATGCATTTGAATTATTGTGTCGGAGAAGAATATTCAAAGTACCATAGACAGCCAGAAGAACAATCTGTCTTAGAAAAAGTCTAGGCAGAATGTTCCTTAGAACACAGGATGACAAGACTTCATCTCTCATTCTTTGGACATGTTGTTAGGAAGGATCAGTCCCTGGAGAGCATCATGCTTGGTAAAGTAGAGGGTCAATGAAAAAGAGGAAGATTCCCACAAAAGATGTATTGACACAGTGGCAGCAACAACGGACTCAAACATACAGTTGTGAGGATGGCATAGGACCAGTGTTTTGTTCTGTTGTACATCTGAGCCGGAACCAACTCTACAGCATTTAACAACAACACTAACACAACATTATTTTGAAGTTCTGTAAAAAAAAAAAAAACCCTAACACTGGAGTCACATACAACTTATTATCTATTGAATTTCTATGTTCTATGTCTTGTTGCTGAAGCAGAAGCTTTAGAACAATATATTTTCATGCTATTTTAAAAACTAAGTACTGGGGTTACAACAGTGTTCACTGAAAAGATAGACTATTTCTAAATCTATTCAACTTGCTGCGGCTTTTATTTAAAATATATTGTTCCAGTGAATTAGTGAAATCCTCATGTGGTGCTGTAGGATAAGCACCAAACTGCTAATCACAAGGTCGGTGATTCGAACCCAGCAGCTGAAACGTGTCCTATACAGAGTCGCTATGAGTTGGAACCGACTCAACAATATTTAACAACAACAACAGTTGTTTAGTTGTTGGATATGTAACAGTTCTTAAACATCTCTGTATCTGCTTTGCTTTTAATTATGATGTTTTACCTTTTTATTATCATCCAAAACTGTGTTCATACTCTCTATCCACAAAGTGTCAATGGGACCATCAAATACCACCCATTTCCTGTCAGGTGTTTCTGATAAGGCAAATTCTCTAAAGGTGTTAGCCACAATACCATCAGTCCACTGAAAAGAAAAAGGAAGAGTTGGAAAACTCCCTTTATAAAACTGAATTTAGCACTGAAAATATTAAAACAGTTCAAATTTCTTGGTTCATGTGCACTGTAAGTAAAAGTTGAGAATGTTTAAATTATAGATTACCTCATGTGACACTGGATCAAACTGCCCAAAAAGTTGGCCCATTGTAATGGATTTGGGGTTGACAGTCCTAAAAATAACCTTTTCTTCCTCTCCATAACCACGTTCATTCATAAGACTTAGTGTGTCAGCCAGCACATGCAGAACTTTAGTCTTAGCAGCAAAAGGCTCTCCTACTAACATAAAACTATAAAAGAAAAAAAAAAAGTCATTACACAAAAACGTTCTTTTTTAAAAAAACATTAAATTATGTGCTATACATACTGATGTATCAAACTTTATCCTATATAATTGCTAAACATAATTTTTTATTAATTGTATGAATTTTTCATAGGTATAGGAAAATACATTTAACGCTGAACTGGCTGATCTGTAAATCAAATTATACACATTATATTATTATCTACAAAAGAGAATATAATAAAAGGACTCCAAAGGACAAAAAAAGCTTAGCATCTGTATAATCAAAAAAAAAAAAAAAACGCAAAAACTGAGATGTGGGGCCTCCTAAAGACAGGAGAGGGGAAGATACCCTTTGCTATTTGCTAAATATTGCTGGTTCTCCTAGCTGCTGAAACATGTAGGTTCCTGGTCATCTTGTGAAGACTATGTAACTAACTCCAACCAATGAAAAGTAAGCAGAATGTAACAGAGTTCATATCTATTGGACTAAAGACTTCCATGTGAATAAATGACTAAGTAAACACTGCATTGTGTATGAAAACAGATCCGTAATGATGCTGCTCCTTTGTATTATTATTTCCCATTTCCTTCTGGCCCATCTCCTGATTAACTACTAACCTTCTTTTGTCTCAGAGGATTTACCTATTTTGTTGCTGTTGCTGTTAAGTGCTGTTGAGTTAGTTCCGACCCATAGTAACCCTGTATAAGGTTTCCGAAGAGTGGCTGGTAAGTTTGAGCCACAAACCTTGCAGTTCAAACTGACCTTGCGACCGAGTGCTTATCCTATGTAAGTCAGATCATACAATATTTGTCTTTTTGTGCCTGATTTATTTCACTTAGCATAATGCTTTCTTGGTTTATCCATATGGTGCTATCTATCAGAACTTCATTTCTCTTTATAGCTGAATAAGGACTCCAATGTATGCATAAAACACATTTTTTTCTATCCATTCATCTGCTAGTAAACACTTGGGTTGTTTTCACCTTTTGGCTATTATGAACACACTGCAAAGAACACTGATGTACATGTCTGTCTGAGTCACTGCTTTCAATTTTTTTAAGAATGTATATACCTAGGCATGGTACTGGTAGGTCAAATAGCTAATTCTATGTTTATCTGTAACTTTTTGAAGAGCCAAACTGTCTTTTCCACAGTGCCTATACCACTTTACATTCCCACTACCAATTTGTTTTCTCATTTCTCCACATCATTATCATCATTCATTATTTTCATTTTTTGTTTTGTTTTAAATAGTTACTCTAGTGGGTAAGGAGCCCTGGTGGTATAATGGCTTATGCATTAGACTGTTAACCACATGGTCATCAGTTCAAGTCTACCAGCTGCTTCTGAGGGAGAAAGATGAGGCTTTCTGCTCCCATAAGGATTTACAACCTTGGAAACCCTCTACAGGCCATTATGAGCCAATAACTGACTCAGTGGCACAGAGCCACAACCATCACCACCACTCTCCTGTGGGTGTGAAGTATCTCATTGTGGTTTTGATTTGCATTTCCCTAGGCACAGTGAGTTAGCAATGGGCTGCTAAAGCAAACTCAGAGGTCAAAACTCACCAGCCATGCCCTGAGACAAAGAAGACGTGGTCTGCTCCCATAACATTTACAGTCTCAAGCACACTCTCTTATAAGGCCCGCCATGAGTCAAAATCAACTCAATGGTTTTAATGACTACTGATGTTGATCATCTTTTCATGTGCTTGCTGGCCATTTGAATATCTTCTTAGGTGAAATGTTTGTTCCAGTCCTTTGCTCATTTTTAAAGTAGGTTGTTTTTGTTGTTGCATATTCTGGATATTGAACCCTTATCTGATATATTGTTCCCAAATATTTTCTCCCATTCTCCAAGTTTGTCTTTTCACTTTGTTGACAACAAACAATAGATTTTAATTTTGATGAAGCCCAATTGATCCTTTTTCTCTTGTTGTTCACGCTTCTGTTGTCATACCTAAGAATCCACTGCCTAAAAGATCTCCCAGATTTACCCCTATGCTTTCTTTTGTATGTTTTATGGTTTTAGCTCTTATGTTTAGGTCATTGATTCACTTGGAATTAATTTTTGTTTATGGTGTGAGGTATGCGCCTAACTTCATCATTTTACATTTGGAGATCCAATTGTCCCAACACCATTTATTCAAGAAATTATTCTATCTCCACTGAGTGGATTTAGCATCCTTACAGGAAATTAGCTGGCTAGAGATGATGGCTTGTTTTAGACTCTCAACTCTATTCCATTGATCCATGTGTCTGTGGCACTGTAAGATAAGTACTGGACTGTTAATCTCAATGTCAGCAGTTCAAATCAACCAGCCACTCCTTGGAAATCCTATACAATGTCACTATGAGTTGGAACCAATTCAATGACACTTAACAACAACAACATTTCTATTATTATACCATCATCAGACCATTTTGGTTGGACTTGTGGAGTCAGCACTGGACTATGAACCACAGGTCAACAGCTCAAACCTACCAGTGACTCCTTAGAAACCCTATGAAGTTTGCTATGAGTTAGAACCGGCTTAACTGCACTTAAGAACAACAGATCATTTTGGTTACTGTAGCTTTAGAGTGTTTTGACACAAGGAAGTGTGATACCTTCTACATTGTTAGTTTGTTTTTTTTTTTTCCCCCAGATTGTTTTGGTAATTCAGGGCCCCTTGCAATTCCTTATAAATTTCAGGATCATCATTTTCATTTCTGCAAAAAAGACTGTTGGAATTTTAGTGGAAATTATGTTGTGTCTACAGATCACTTTAAGTAGAAATGACACCAAACAATATTGCCTTCCAATCCATGAATGCAGGATGTCTTATTATTTTTTTATTGTTGTTAAGTGCTGTTGGGTTGGTTCTGACTCACAGTGACTTTACAAAGGGCTTCTGAGGTTGTAAATCTTTGTGGGAACAGAAAACCTCATCTTTCTCCTACAAGTGGCTGGTGGGCTCGAACTGCCATCCTAGTGGTTTGCAGCCCAATACTTACCCTACAGAGCCACTGCACTCCCCTCTTACCTGTTTGGTGGTGGTAGTGTGCCACAAAGTTGATTACAACTTATATAGACCCTACACAGGATTTTTGAGGCTGTAAATCTTTACGGGAGCAGAAAGCCTCATCTTTCTTTCAAGGAATGGCTGGTAGTTTCGAACTGCTGACCTTGAGGTTAGCAGCCCAACTCATAACCACTACACAACCAGAGTGCTCCTTTAATTCCTTTAAGCAGTGTTTTATAGATTTTAAGTGTAAGGGTCTTTTACTTCCATGGTTGAATTTATTCAGACATTTAAGCAGATAATGTTTTGAGAGAGTTTACTGTTAAAGAAAGGAGCCCTGGCAGTATAACGGATTACAAGCTGGGCTGCTAACTGAAATGTCAGCAGGTCAAATCGACTGGTTACTCCTCATGAGAAACATGAGGCTTTCTGCTCCTGTAAAGATTTACACCTCAGAAACCTTATACAGAGTGCTATAGGTAGGAACCAACTCGATGGCACTTAACAACAACATCTTCTCTTGTAGGTACCCTACAAGTAAGAGGTCCTGAAATTTAAACTGCATTAGTTTCAGGATTAATCCATCTCTGGAACTAGTATCCTCATATACCAAGCTGGATTTCAGAATTGCTACACACCAGTCAGTGTTAGCTATGTCTCCTAGTCTTTAATTTCGGAATTAGTGTGTTGTCTCTAGTAACTCTGTTCTGTTCCACTACTATATATCTCGTATGTGGAGCACAGATAACTGGTCTTTCTAGTGTTTAAGTGTCTGAGTCAAGAGGTACAAGTTTTTAATCTGATTTTGAAAAAGACTACTGTTGTGGTGCTGTGAGCTAAGGCATTGGATTGCAAGGTCAGGTTGAACCGCAAGGTCAGTGGTTCAAATCCACCAGCTGCTCCTAGGAAACCCTATACAAGGTTGCTATGGGTTGGAACTGACTCAACAGGACTTAACAACAGCAACAGCAATATAGATAAAAGGGCAAATTATAGTGCTCATTAGAGCCACGTTCCTTAATGAGCACAACTTACCTACAATTGTAGGACACACAGCATGGGAGAAGAATAAATGTTTGCTTTAAAAATAAAAGGTTACTTGAAAGTTACTGGGACTGGAGGGAGCACCTGAGGACTCCAGACTCGTGGAAAAGGAAAGGTTGTGTGCGGGCAGCCAGGTGCTGGTGGCCAGGAGGCAGTCTTGCAGAATGTGCCCTTTGGTTGTTTAAATGATTATATATTCCTGAATGTTTTTGTGTACATTTTCCCCGCCTCCAAAAGAAAACAGAGGGAATAGAAGCAAATACTATTGAATGATGATGCACAGAAGAGATTGTAATCATTGCAATGAAACGATGAGTGTAAAACTGATGTTCCTACATTGAACTATCACTCAATCAATTAACAATAAAAACTTTTTAAAAAGCTACTGGGACTGTAGGTTTTTTGTTCCTTAGATCACTTAGCATACACAGTTTGATGAGTCATTTGATTCATAAAGTTGTTTTAATAGCTCAAATGAAAAATAACATCTAACTATTGGAAGTGACTTGATACCACTTAACAACAACAAATAGAAGAAATGATAGTCTGTAATCTTACCCATGTCTAACAATCATCATTTCATATGTCTGAATAATTTTATTAAGAAAAAATTTAACAGGCTGAAGATTATGTGCTTTGCACACTTCATGAGCACATTCCAAAAAGTCCTGAAATTAACAGAAAAAAAGAATACATTTCTATAAA